CCAGACTGGCGGCGCATCGGCATCTCATGGCTAAGGGTGCCATAACAGCATCTACTGGGCCAATCCTTCCCGATGTGGTCGCCCAGGACGTAATGACACCCATCTCCGCGGAAGCATCTATCACGGCGGAACCTGGGCCGTCTGGCCAGACATCCGTCGCCAAAAAGCGTAGATTCAACACACTGGACGGCTATGTTGATCAAGCGATGACTGAGGCTCAAAAATCGGAGGCGGATCTGAAGTTCTTTCGGTGAGAATACTGTTTGCCTCACTTCTGAGTTATTTAATCATCATTCGCCTTGTAGATTTATAGTTCACAGCAACAGCGCGTTCCTGCTTGCTCATAATCCTTATTTGCTTGCTTGGATTCAATCTCTTCGTCCAACCTACGTGGTTCCCTCGCGTTACGTGCTTAGCGGCAAATTGTTGCAGGCGGAAAATTCTCGTGTCCATATAGATGAAGTCCAACGGTTGAAAGACCGGAAGCGAGTCACCCTACTGTTCGACGGATGGGAGGACAAGCTGCGACGGAGCCTCTACGGCACTGTCGGCGCGGGAATGGACGAATATCCGAGCCTCATAAGCTTAGACAATATGACCGGCAACCGGGGATCCGCGGACCAGTACATGGAGACTATCGTGGGCGGGTTACAAAAGATGGACATGGCGGACGCGAAGAATGTCGTTGCGTTGACTACGGACAACCCGAAGGTCATGCAATCATTCCGTCGTAAATTTCAAGCACGCTTTCCTTGGGTTTTGGTAAGGCTTCATATCTTCTATTCGGCTCTTTACTAAAGAACTTCAGTTGTTTGCATGCTTCCTTCACGGCCTCAATACAATCATCGGCAAAATTGTAGCGTTCCCTGGAATCAAGAAAACAATAACCGCCACAGCGGTGATTGTCTCTTTCTTCAATAGTTCTCATTATTGGGGCGGTCAGTTGGAAGAGGAGGCACAGAAGTTTAAAGTCGGGCGATCCCTCAAAACACGGACAGAATCTCGGTGGTACTCGTTGATTTTACAGGCTTTAAGCACCAAATCTCATCGGTATGGTCGATTTTGTGGCGGCTACATCAAACTCACATGTCATAATCCCACAGACAACCCCTTATTTCAGTCTGCGCACGTCCAGATGCTCAAAAAAAACCAACGGCTTCACACCGATCACTGCGGCAGTCATAAAGCTTGTTATGGATTCAGATTATTGGCACTCACTCGACCAGCTCATCCGCATCTGTAAACCATTGGTTGATGCTATCGGGAACCTCGAAGCACGGGATGTAACTCTCGCCGACTGTATGCTGGAGCTTATCCGCTGCGCCCGGCACATGGCTTCTTTTGAAGTAGTCCCGGAGGACGATCTTCGTTTTGTCGATCATGCACGATCCACATTTTCACACGAATTCCACGAGATGAATACCGACATTCATGCTCTCGCATTATTCCTCCATCCTCTCTGCCGAAAAATCGCAATATCCCAGGTTGCCAAAGCGAAAACCTTCCAGGGACTCTGTGAAACTGCACTGACTATTGCGAGGAGTTGGGGTTGGGATTCGAAACGGGCAGGACGCCTTGTCGAAGATCTGCAGCAGTACAACGCCTGCAAAGGCCCATTTTCGGGTGGTACTAAGGATGCACGCACCTGGTGGGAATCACTTCCTATTTCCGGGGATGACCGGCCACTCAAAACCCTCGCGATCGTTCTCTTTTCCGTCGTCCCTCATGCGGCTGAAGTGGAGCGGCTTTTTTCCGGTCTCTCTGGTGTACAGGGTGTCAAGCGCTGCAACTTGAGCGTACCAACATTCGAAATACTCGGCAAATTGCGCTCCAATTACAGCTACTACATCTACCTTCAAGACCGGGACAAAAATGCGGCCAAACATCGTAAACACGGCCATATGCACACCCGAGCAGAACCCGGACTAGACACCGATCTCGCCGAAGGACTCGAGGCGAATTTTACGTGGAAGCCGCCTCTTCTCGTCGAGAATATTACGGACGACGTCGACATGCGTGGGATCGAGGAGATGTCCGAGGAGGAGATCAATGCGGCTTTCGAGAGTTGGGACGCGGATTTGGCTGCTGAACGGGCCGCGCGCAAAGCTCTGCCGCTCGCGAAGCAACCTATCGACGTGGGCTTGGTTTACGACTACGCGGAGTTGGACAAGATCGACAGCGGCGCGGCGACGGTGGTGTTCGAAGATGATGTCACCATCCATGTGGGTGGAACAGCAGATGCCTGGGATCCATTGGCCTTGCTGACGGCGAAGGGTGTTACCTCTGGTTAATTATCACTGCCCAAACTCGCCCGCGTACACGTAGAGTAGCTATTTTTCTTTACGTCGCAGAATTGCCTAATTAGGTTATGCCAGTTCTGCCGTGGCCGGCAATTGCCAGTTCTGCCTGGCTGGCTGGCCGAACAGCCCCGAAACAGTTCTGCCACGTTCACTAATTAGTCTCCGCATCATACCATCTCGCCAGAGCTGGAAGGGTATAGACTACATACCGACTGCCTCTTGCTGAAAAAAGAGCTGATTCGGAGACCCAGGACATGAGAAGGAAGCGGGAGTGAACTAAATTTAATGCGGATGGCGCATTGCCGAGAGCTCCGCCGAATTCAGCTCGAAAATCGAAAACGTCTATCGTTTTTGATTTAGCTGGAATTGAGGCTGGACTATCGCGCACGTGGAAAAGTGGTCAATGCTGAGGCACACCGGCGCACGCGTCACGCCCTATGCCAAGATTCAAATCTCGAGTTTGACGTGCTATTTGTGCGTGTATACGCGACTGAAGTTTGTTCGTATGTACGCGAGCAACAATGTGACCCGTGCTCCAGAAATAATCGCAGCCCATGTGCACGTCTCGGCTGACTTCAAGAAATAATCCTTCGTCCGCCCCTCGGTTTCATTTTCTGCCGGTCTACGGCAGCGGAAGCTGGTGCTCGGTTCGTGCGCTATTTCATTGGCCTCGCCGACCCCAGGGGATGCTCATTTACTCAAGGACCATATCCCACGAATATCGACTTGATGGCGGAGGGTCCGGGCTTGCGCTATATTCGCATGGAGCATGTAGATATCGTAGCTCGGGCTCGGGCCCGGCCCATCCCTCGTTGCTTCCTCCTTTTTTTGCGCTCTGCTTATTTTCTGCCGGGCGTCCTAATTCAGAGTTCCTCCCGTGGGACTCGAGGGACGGTTCGTGTCCCATCCTACTGCTTTCGAGGGTACGGAAGGTTACTCGCGTATTCCGGGACTGCTCCGCAGTTGTAGAGGTTCGATGGCGGGGTCCGCGCCTGCGCTGCATATGCATGGGATGTGTCGCTTGGAGAAACCCGATCGACTCGAGGTCCGGCCATGTTGCGAACTAACTCACGTCTTTTTTCTTTCTTTTTTTCTCTTTCATTACCGAGGCTGCGCTGATTGTTGCAGAGACGCCCAGTTTGTTTCTCCACATGCCCCCCCTGGGTTCACTGTCCATGTCACTCTGGTACCGCGGTTGGCCTATTATATTTCTTTCGACGGGGCGGATATATGGCTTACTTATTGAAGTACCACTTTGCCCTGATATTGGCTTGATGGCGGACGGTCCGCAGCTGTGCTTCATATTGCGAGAAAGTGATGCAATGCATTGTAGGGATGCCCGTTCGACTCGGGTTCGAGCCATGGAGGGTGAGGCTGATTTTCTCTTTTTAATCTTTGTGCCGCAGTCTTATGGATTGCTCGGCCGGGTCATTTGCCTTTTTCAAGCATACTGTCCTCCGATTAAATTTCATTGTGCACGCGCCTAAATATGTTCAAGTTCAGTCCCGCGCTTTTGCAATCAACTCGACAAGAAAAAATCGGGAGAGAAGGTGAAGCTCTGGTAGATGCGTATACCCCTCGCGCTTAGTTTTTGCCCCTCCCGGCCTTTCCATATATCTTTTTTCTCAAAACCTCAGTCTCCGCCATGACAGTTCGGTCCCCTGTCACCAGCGTGACCGTTACACACTCTTGCGTCCTGCCACCATGTCGGATTCCTCGCCCTCGTCAAGTACTCCAGCACGCGGGCGCGGGCGCGGAAAGTCGCGCGGTGGCCTGGGAAAGTACCTCCGTGCGCGCGGGCGGGGCCGAGGCTCGGGGCGCCCCGCAGAATTCGGCACGCGGCTCGTGCTTGAGGGCGAGGAAGTGCCGAACCCCGACGACGAGGAAGCGGCGGAAGAGGCAGCGGAGCTGGCGCAGAAATTCTCGCGGCGGCAGCTAGGCACGAACGCGGATCGATATGTAGAGGAGGAGCCTGTGCTCGACTCAGACGGCGAGCCAGAAGTGGAGCCCGAGGTCGACTTGGCGGCTTTCCTCGCGCGGCAGCGCCTCTCGGATGATTCGGTGCTGCAGACGGACCCCGTCGACGAGGACGAAGACGACGTGGACCACAGCCTCGCGCACATCTCGTCCGGCGGCGCCAAACCTCCGAGTTCAAGGAAGGGGAAGGTGGAGGCGATCGCATGGGATGAGGGCCTCGAGGAGCTGGAGAAGGAGAAGGCTGCTGCCGAGGCGATTTGGGGTGCGCTTGGATTTCATTCCCTTCCCGCGGCTTCTCTGTGCCGCGCCACTGACTGCGAGCGATGGCAGACTTGAAGACACGCTTTCGCGCCAAATCGGAGAAATTGCGGAAGGCGGCCGTCACGCCTGCACGCGAGCGCAAGCCCGGTACGCACCCACTGCGGCTTCGCTTCCTTAGATATCACTCACCCTCTCGTACAAGGCCCCGCACTCGCCGAAGCGCCCCCCCTCCCATCCGACGAGCCGCTGAAGGCCCCGCGGGACGAGATGCAGGATTTTTTGGACGATTTGTTGGGTTGACTCCGCGCATTGTGAATGCGTGAATTAGTAATGTACCATTTGTACCACCTCTCGTCGAAATTACTATAGTTTTTTTGCGTCACCTTTAGTTCCTCTGACAAAACGCAAAGCATTCTACGCCCCGCTCGCTCATTTATGGAACAACGACTTTCACCTCCTACCGGCTCGATGGCGGACGGTCCGCGCCTGCGCTCGTTGCAACACTGCTTGCGAAACTAGCTTGCAGGTGGCGCCCGTTCGACTCGGGCTCGGGCCATTGGACTTCATCTTCCCTTTTTGCACTCTGCTCGTTCCGAATCCATTGCGCCGTCCTCGAAGCAGCTTCGTGTACCGTCATCCTGCGCAAGAGGTTGCTCATCTAATCGAGGACCGCTCCCCGCTTACAATGGCTCGATAGCGGAGGGTCCACACCTGCGCTGCATTCCATTGTTGGCTGGTGCTTCTAGACGAGGTGCCCGTTCGATTCGAGCTCTGGCCATAAAAAAAACAAGAGGATGTTGTCCTTTTTGCCTTGATTCGTGCGGTCTTGTAGGTTGATCTTCTAGCTTTCCTTAACAGCGCTCATAAATCTTCTCACACATACCGTCTTCTGCGCCTGGGCGTGGGTCTTCTATGATCTTCATCTTTTTCTTTTCCCTCTGACTTCCCGCCAGACGATGCACCTATTGAAGAACCGGTCCCAGCAGGGATCGGCTCGATGGCGACGGTCCGCCTCTGCGCTCGATGGGCTGCAGTTCCGTCCGCGGACTCGTACAAACTCGTTCTTTTCACGCTAGCTATTGGGTGATAGTCGTTTTCTCCTTATTTCGCACCACGGGAGGTTTTCTCACTTCTTTAAGCAAGAGATGCCCGCTCGACTCGGGCTTGAGCCATGGATGGTCAGAAATAGCTTTTTAGCCGATTGCCCCGTCGTTGCTCCAGGATCTGCGCGTATTCCTTCAGTCTTTCTGTCCCCTTGGGCCATCTGCGAGCGACGTTCCATCTTTCCTCCTAATAGCAAGGCTTCTCACTTGTAGATGAACGATTCAGGGTTTATACGGGCTTGATGGCGGGCGGTCCGTATCTGCGCTCCATACCGCTAGCAGCGTGATTTGACGCATGAGATGCCCCGTTTGACTCGGGCTCGAGCCATGCGACGGTACTGAGCTTTTTGCTTCGCATTACCCTCCTCCGCTGAATAGTTATCTTTAGCTCAGTACTCAGTGAACTCGCAACACTCTACTTATTTCCGCGCGCATTAGGAGTTGTATTCCTCGAGCGTCGTTGGGAAAGTCCTCAGTGACTTGCCGAATACGTGAGCGTGGGGACAGAAGCCCAACGCAATCAAGTGAGCAAGCGTAATTGTCCGCCCAGGATTATCTCGGGCTGTTGAAATTGACATCCGAAAGCAGGCAGAGTTCGATTATTGAGCACGTGCGAGAGTTACACTCATCGCACCCACCCCCAAGACACTGGTCGTATAATTTCGATTACACCGGGCACGGGATCTCGCACACACACTCCGCCGCGCAGGTCGCATTCGAAATAACGGGGTGTAGCCCATTGCCCGGGCACTGGAAGTGCCACACATCGTCGCACGCGATCACTTGGTCGATGCCGCCGTTGCAAACGAGAAACGGGAGCGCGTCGCAGTGGATGGTGTCCTGCACAGTTAGCACGTTAGATTATCTTGCCGCGGGCGATGGAAATTGGATGTGAGCGTACGTTGCGTGCGGCGAGGGGCTACGAGGATAGAGTATGAGTGGCATGCAGATAGCGGAGAGGAAGGTGCCTACGTTTGCAGCCGCAACGGCGAGGAAGGAGGCGAGGACGGCAGTGAGGAGGTGCATTGGGTGAAGGGTCTTGTGTTGGGTGTGCATTCGCCGCGGGTCGACTCTTAAATATGTGGTGGAGGGAGCAGCTGACGGATGGGTCGGCAACATGAATTGTGGTGAAACGACTTGGCACTGGCCCCAGGTGTCCCAGTTCCCGCTGCCTTCAACACGATCGTTCCGCTAGTGCCGGGTTCTTGAGCGGGTGAGAGATCTATTGAGTTTGAATGTCCCTCGAATGCCGAATTGCGCCAAGCCAACGTACCGGGATGAATATCGCATGCGGATGACCGTTGACTGGATGTAGGCAGAATCAATGTTCATATTGGTTCAGGCCAGTGGAGAGACACGAGCCGCCAACCGCGGACCACGGTAGAGCCGCAATAAAAGCCCGCACGATGCGACACTAGAGTGGCGGGTCCGCAGGCTGATATGTGTCTACCCGGGGGACTGGAGACCGGTGCGAGATCCTGAGCAAGCGACGGAGGGCTGGCTGAGCAGCAAGCGAGACGTTCGGACTAAGATGTCGATCAGAGGTCCGCACTTCAGTGCGCAAGTCTTGGCTGCGAGTCGAGCACACTAGGTGGCAGAGATTAAGGAGGATTAAATCGGCAAGGGAAAGTCAGTGGCCCGCCAGAAATCACCGAATTGCTTCCAGATTCTTTTTGGATTTCTTTCTTTCTCAAGGATCCGATTTGCGTGCGCGGGCATCGGATTCAATCCAGCTGTGGAAGCTAGAGCCTGGATGACGGATGCAAAGAGCGGAAAGTTGTGGCGTATTTGTCAATTGATCGGGTGCACAGCCTTGCTGACCCGCCTTTCTCCTGCCACCACTACAGCTGCTCTTCCGCTGTCCTGCCCTGGGCAGGCGTGCGTTATGCCCGCGCGCATTATATTCACCAAATATCCCCATTCTAACCGCTAAGCCCTACTAAATTGTTGTAGTACTCTGCGACTCGGTGGCCCCCGTAAATGTACAACAATTTCGCCCCCGCGCCGTTTCCGGCGCTAAACTAGGGGCTAAGTGGACAGGGAAGATTCAACTGACTAGGATTGCCCCCAGATCAGTACCCTCTGGCGTGCTATTTTTCCGAACTTGAAGACCAGGACATTGCCGCGAAATCGAGGTTCCGGACGACGATACTCGTGGCTGCGACACATAATTCAGACTTTTATTGGACGCCGATTCTACCCTATCATCGGCTCGGAGGCTAACAACGCTCGACTCATATTACCGCTGAAGATGCTCGTTCGATTCGAGGTCGAGCCGTTCACTGCTCCCGATGAGTTTTTTTACCTTTCCTTGGTTTTGGTTGCATCGCTGAATATATATTTTGACTTGTCGATGCCAGCCGCACCTATCAGTCAAATCAGGCGCCCCATCTACTTGCTCATGGCCACTGCACTTGCTCAAGCACCTGTTCCTCGAGGATCCGCGCAGCACAACCGCCTTTGGATACGTTTTCTCGCAGGACTGGTACGCTGGCATGGGCGAACGCTGGGAAAAGCGCGAAGTCGCTCCAACGAAGCGCAAGGCTCGTCCCCGAGTCGAACGGGGCGTCTTCAGTACTACTCGCCGTGTTTACGTGTTCCCGAGGCGCAGGTGCAGTCTCACCGCCATCGAGCCAATGCGAGGCGCTGGTGGTTCTTCGATGATTCGAGCTGAATTTTCGACGATCAAATGCGCAACCAGGTCGATTTCATCGTTTGTGGTGTCGAAGAACGGAGTTCGGGGCTGGTGGACAGACAAATGGGTCGGAAGTCCGGGAAATGGGGTTCAAGGGTGTAGCAGAAAGTTGGTCGAAAGTCCCCAGAAAGTCGTGGAGGCGTAGAATGAAAATAGATTGGTGATTGGGGAATATGCCGTGCAGGCGTGGGGTACGGGCGTAGCGTGTAAAGACTCGGAGAGGGTGGTTTCGTAGGGCTCGGGTGGAGAATGTTCACTGGCGCCGTAGCCACAGTGGACTACTCGGGGCACTGGGCGCGTCGATTGTGGTCGTTCGGGTGTAAGGAGGTTATTCTTTGGTACTATGTACGTACAAAACAAATCATCGGACTGATGTCCGATGTAGCGAGGGGTAAGCGAGGAGGTACGGAAAGGGGGATAGTCCGTGAGCGGACCATTCCACCCTTCCACAGTGGGTCATCAGACTTCAAGGATACTCCGTGCGCACCCGTCCAACCTCAGCACTTAACTTACCTACAGGCTGGACTTGCCCGGCCCTTTCTCAATATATCTCGGCTCCTCTATGGAACCATTCTGCCGAATAGAGACGCACAGTTATCTGCAACCAGTCTTAGTTACTACCGGCTCGATAGCGATGGGACCCACATGCTCAATTAATTACTGTAATGGTTCCCGCTCGTCTCGGGATCGAGCCTTCGCTTCCGGTTTCGCTACCTTTTTTTCCGTCGCCCGCGTCTCGCCATTCTCCGGGAACCGCGGCCGTCGCAACACACCGCTCGTGTATCCCTGCCTCAACCTGGCAATTAATGCGTGTTCGACAACGGTGGCACCCACATATCTTGGTTGAATTCAGTATACGAAATTGATCAGCGCGGCTGCTGCGAGCGCCAACATGGGCGCCTCAAATTTGATTGTCGCGCACCGCCTCAGAACATCAGAGATCTTCTGCAAATTGCAGCGCACCCCCTGTGCCAGCCATGTCGACGTTCATCCATACCAGGCATTACAATCACAGCTCTACTCGGCCGCGGTATGTCCTGCCCATTATCTACCCCGCGCCTATTTTGAATTAATGGGAGTCTTGGTTGAATTCAACATGCGAAAGCATCAGCGCCCACATGGGGGTATCAAAATTGATTGTCACCGCCTCTGAAGAGTCAGAGATCGCCGGCGCAAGGTTGTGCCCACAAAACTACTTGCTCTGTTCCCCGCGAGCACTTTCTGTCCGTCCCTCGCCGCTCGTGCCCTTGCAGCGCACCCTCCGAGCCAGTGGTTTCCAAGTTCATCATGCTCGACCCAGTGCTCGCGTACAAGGCGGTACAATCACAACTCTATACGGCCGCGGTGCGTCCCGCGCACGCTCACCTGATATGCAGGGCACCCTCTTCTTCAACGGTCCGTGCGCCTATGCCCATTGGGATTCCCGTTAGACGCGGGATCGAGGCTTCCCCACGTTTTCGCCACCCTTTTTTTCGGCTCGTCTCAGTATACGTACTCGCAGGGCCATCGGATCTCTGGAACCTCGCTTGAACAGGCAAACTCTACTGAAGATCTCATTTGACGAACCAATCTGTAATCCATCTATAAGTGTTTCCATTCACCCACAGCATTTATACCAGCGCATTCAACCCCACCACCGGCTCGATACCTAATTCTCGTATGGTCGAAGATTTGGGGTCACTCTGACTTGTGTCGGATCGGCGTGATTCCTGCCGCGCCGTTAAACCGCCATCAGTTCGCGAAGCTCAACCATTCGGG